TGCAAGTACTGGTCCGGGCCCCCCTCTGCTGACCGATGACCAACTGAACCAGCAACCAAGCAAGCTAGCAAGCAAGCAAGCAACCAAGCAACCAAGCAAACAAACAAACAAACAAACAGCCAGCCACTTTACCCAATTGCAGGTATTAGGTATCCTGAATGTTCCGTCTTTTGCGAGAAACACAAGCCTGATCAAAACTTGACATGACGCTCTACATATTGCAAGTAAAGAGAGACGCCGATCGGTTCAGGTCCAACATGAATGGACCCTCCGAAAAAGACCCCCCCATTTTCAGCATCCTTTCTGCATTTAGAGGGAAACCACAGGCAACCACCGACCCCACTTTTGAGAAACCTCCCATGAAACAGGAGCTCGCCTGCGCGTCGATGACCAGGCTCTCTTCCGGCTCCGTGGCACCATCTCCGTGGGTCTGCCTCGGGAAGTGCCTTTGAAGGGCCATCTATAGTCATGAGTCATCTGAGTGCGTCTCTGTTTAGGGGACCCCCTGAAAAAAAGGAGTACCCTCAAAAACGACAGACCTAGATTCTTCCCATGACCAAACTGCACCAGGTATACCTGGTGGGGGATAGTGCACGAAGTAGATGTACGTTTTTGGTTGCCTCGAGCTGGCCGGCTTGCTAGTGTTCCCTGCTAGAATTAACATAGAATCATTGCTCTTTCCCACCTCCAACCCCTTTAGCGATGCTTTTTGGACAGTACCGCCAGTTTTGATGGCAATTCAGAGACCCTGCTTTTGTCATTTCGACGAATCACGGTTGGACCACCATGTAAATATGTTTGAACACACGACTGTTGCACAGGCTCGAGTTGGCTTCCCTGCAAAAGGTGGTCAGGGTCTGGTTGCTTCAATATCCACTGGTTTCTGAGCCACAGCCCCTCAAGGGAGCTCTGCATCCGCACTCTGCATCCGCCCTTCGCTGAGCTGAGGGCCGGATGACTCGCAACAGATCCTGCTGAAAAATCGGAAAGGACTGACCGTGACACGTTCTCGCGTTTCGTCTCGCTATCCCAACATACCCGGTGCTTCCAGTGAATTACAACTATAGGTAGCCAGGGTTTTCACCATGATCCAAAGCCTAGAGGTAGCCACATACCGAAGAGTTACCCATAGTAGTCATAGGAATCACTGGGATAGGTACTCGAGCGCTCATTGGCTCCTGATGCTCTTCTTCCATATCGTCGTAATTCAGCTCCTGCGGCGAGGGATTCGCTGAACCTCATCTCTCAAAATCACATGGAGCCCACGAAGGATGAAGCTTTGTGGGGAAGCTCTGCGCCGAAAATTGCGGAGAGTGAGGGATCAACTTGTGCAACCGGCCATGTGGCCATGGGCTTATCCATGTCTGTGGTCATTTTCTGGCTTATCCATTGGAAGCGGTTTTGGATACTCTACAAACTAACATGGAACCCACACAGGGGGTCCGATGTCCAAAAGGGTTTTCCTCGATGATGGCTTTGTTGGGCTCCATGCTGACCCGTTTAACTGGGAATTCCCAACTTTGCCTAGTTTCAGGCACTGAAAGAGCCAAGGCCTGCCTTCATTTCTGTGTTCACCAGGCTGGCAGTGGGTGGATCAGTGCCTCACGAACGTGCCGCGCAAGCGCCAAAACGGCGGTGCTGCCCTGCTTGCCATTGTGCTGCCCTTTTCGGTTGCACTGCCCTCATTATTCAAATCATCTTGAAGCCGGTGTGTCACTTCTTAGAATTATCTTAAAGGTGGTGTGTCACTTGCTAATCAGCTTGAAGAAGGTGCGTGCTTTTGTAATTCTCCTGAAGCCAGCTTTTGGTTTGCTCTACTTGTATCTGCTTCCCGTTTCATTCCTTGGAAACACGATCCCATCCACTTCATGCCCAAGGCCCAGGCCCAGGTAGCACACCTGCAGCTTTCCGCGGCAGTCCATGAGCACCATCATGCCTAGGGCTGCCACGGAAAGCAAAGCGAGCCCGTTGCAGCAGTCCCTTTGGTCGAGGTTCCTGGAAGGATCGAAACCCTCTGCTGGTGAGTGGGGGACAAGCTGCATGAAGTATAAATGTCAATTCGACCAACCAAGTCACAAAGATGCCGAATTTGCGCAAGAAGACCTGGAACAAAAGATTGACCTTTTGGAACCTTGACTGCAAATAGACCAAAACATAAAAACGAGGTTTCCCATCTACCTTCAGACCTCCAGTCTCAAATTGAGGACCCTACTTTCTGTTCTAGAAGGAAAACCAACAAAACCATTTTAGGGTCTCCTTTTTCCAAGGCACACCCACAGCGAACATGCGAGCTGAGAATCTACAATCTACTCAAAACCCCAACTGGATCCCTCAAAACTTAATACCTGGAGTGCAACATTTGGGTGAGGACACTTTGAGGAATCGCATAGAACCCTCTGAGCCCATCGCCGGAGGAAACTCCTCGGGGATGCGAACCCTCTGAGCCACTGGCCCCGCACGCTGCCCAGGGTGTCCACGCAGATCTGAACTGGCACCTCAAAGCGCCAGTTGAGCGACCAAACATAGGCCTGGTCCCCAAATGGGTACGCGTCAAAAAGCCGGAACCCGGAAAATGGCGGTCTCTTTGATTGAATTTACACCCATCTAGCAAAGGGTGCCTTTCCAAAAAGGCACCCAAACGGGACATGGACAGCCCCAAACTAGGAGACTGGGTGGATTGCGTTTGGCTCTCCTTTTGGCCACATGACGAAGGTCCCTTCTACTTCCAGTGTGCGAATTGTAGACATTTGTGCCGAATTCATTGTGCCCCGAGCTGAGGTGAGTAACCTCCGCTTTCTGATCTAGTGTGTCTCCGCAATGTCACCCGACGTACCGCAGCAATTGAGGCGAGTATTGACTGTTGCTCAAACAATTGAGGGATCAAAGTGGCAAGTATGAGTTGGGGTGCTCCGAAATTCAAAAATAGGAAGTACGTTGAAAGATGGTTACACAAGACAACACTTGCAAGCAAACCAATTTGATGGGGTCCCACATTTAACACCGATTTGCAGACGCTCAAAGGGGGTTAGACCAATCGCCCGGATGAGTCTTTTCGAGGTATCATCCTCGACTCCAAGGTAGACCTTAGGGAATGTGGTTGAATATGCACAGCAAGAGACACCGCGGAAACCGTGCTTCCGGGCATTCAACACGTAGCCGTGTGTGGTTTATCTGTTCGGAACTTTCCAGTTGTATTACTCTGAGAACTAGCAAGTCATGGGCCATCGGGCCTCGCATGTCAGGAGAAGAGAACCTGGTATGTAGACAAAGCGCTGCCTTTTGCGGCTACCATGGTTGTTCCGCTTTTTTTTCATGTTGGCAAATGAGCTGAACAACGGAAACAAACACGCGCATGCCAGGAACGGTGAAGCCTCTGACTACGGTTCCCTCGAGGGCACCCACACTTCGCTTGGCCGCCCCGCCATGCCCTGCAGCCGCGCGCACCACATCAGCTGCATCTCCTTCAAGACCAGCAAGTGGCCTCCGGAAGGTCTCAAGCGAGCTGTGCCTGTGGGAAAAAACGCTCAGATGTCATTTTCATCTTGGGATTCCTTTCAAAAACCAACCAACAGAAGGTCTAACATTGGGGGGGTCGTTTTGGAGGGACTCTTGTTCAAGTATTTGAACATGAAACAAACACGGAAGAAACCCCGGCTTCACATGTGAAGCCCACAGCAGGTCCTCTTGTGTGAAGAGAAGGTGCAGTAAAGGGGAGCCAAAAGGACACAAACTCCAAACACCCAAACACCCACACACACAAACATGAATAAGCACCAAGACGGAGGAAACCACTTGCCGCCAAATGGTCGAGGGGCATGGCTTGAAACATCATGACACAGACTAATCCTGCGCCTGTGTTGGTGCCCAAGATCAGGTTGTGGTTGGGCAGCGCCTGCGGTTGCGATCTGCGTTGCAACATCCCAGACGTGTCCAAAGGGACCCAAAACGGCCGGCTGCGGTCCCTTTCAGCTTCCCGAAGCCCCAAAGGAGGGCAACAAGACATCTGACATACCGCTATTTGCCTGGAACCGATTGACACTTCCTTGGACACTCGCGCATCACTCGGCATTGTAGGCAGTGACCCAACGTACATGTGGGAAAATCAAAAGAGTGGCCAACCATTTTTGTTGAGACTTTCTAGCGGTGGTTGCTTTTACTCCACCTTCGAGTATGCTGGACTACCTGGTCGCACTCTCTGGTTGACTCCCCAAATATTGCAAGTGGGAAACAGTGACAAACCTCTAATTTACCATGGCTCATTGTTTGCCTGATTTATATATTGGTGTGCGAGTCTGTTACTGCCTGTTTATTCTACCCACTTGTTGTGGCTTTTAAGGGAAGCGCGAGAGCCGCAGCCGGTGACTCTCTGGGTCTCCGGCATCCGCGGATTCCGGCGGCATCTTGTAGGCGATGCAGGCGGCTGCGCAGTCAGAGACTCAACCGAATCCGAGGGGTAGATCTGTTTCCCCCAAAGAACATGGGACTTTTGCTTGTTCCAAGAACCTTCTGCAAAAGCAGCCCAAACAAGATCTGTCCAAGGGACCTTCCGTGCAACCCGCATTAAAAACCATTCTCTCCAGGTAGCGCTTGCTCGAAGCCCCTGGTTTTGTAGGCGTCCTTCTGAGCAAATTTACCCTGAACAAAGGAACCGCATCAGTTGGGTCGCCAGCTTTTGGCCAGATCCTTCTTGCCAGAAAACCAGAAGATCAAGCAGATACTGCTGGTGCTTGAAAGAACAATGATGGTCGAAAGCGCTTCAACGGAAAAGGGAAAACAAGGTTTCCGTCGCCATTGTTTTTGTGGCTGAAATTGGTTGGCAAAACTGGACATGTTGACCAAGCTCATCAATGAAAGGACCCACAAAGTTCACAGTTAGGTGACTCAACCGTTAAGTCTTCCACCGGATCCTGGCGATTCACGTCAAAAGGTTCTGGGCAGCAGCACTGATGCCATACTCCGCGAGGCGCTTCTGCAATCGGATGCCGCCACTGTCCTGGCAGGGCCAGCCTAGGGAACAAACCAAAGGACCGCGTCAGAAATGCTCTTAGAGGCAGGAATGGTGGGAAAACCACCTAACAAGTGGCGCAGGATTTTGCCCACCCACAGTATTGCTGGGTGCAAGTGTGCCAACCAAACGGGGGCTTGACAAAAACCCAGGCCGGCCTGTTAGTTGAAGGGTCAATGTTGGCAACCCACGTTCACCTCCCCTTGGCTACAGCTCGTCTATCGGGCACACCATTCTCTTCACATAGTGGGAGGCCCTTTAGGAACACCTTGTATTTCACGGGAGAGGAAACAAAGCACTTATTTTTACAAAGAGGTACTCGAAAGGAGGCCCCTGAAAATGAAGTGCCCCTTACTTTAACGTACCCTTTCATGCTGGGCGAGGTTGCTTTGCCACATCACAATTTCATGCTTGACATGGTCCAATGAGCAACACGGGATGGGCCCGGTTTAAAAACAAAAAATGGAAGTTACCCTAGTTCAAGTTCAGGGATGCCAAAAAAAAGCCCGGGACCATCCCCTTCGAATGAGCCAGCAAAGTGTCTCATTGGTACGCTGGAGAGGATCATAGCAGCTCCAAATGCTTGAAATCTTGCTGAGGTATGTAACGGGGGTCCTTGTACAGGTGTGTAACGGGAAAACCGTGCTTGACAAGTACTAGTACATCGCAACTATTCAGTACAAGTGCAATACGCAAAGCGCAACCCCGCAGCCTTGACATTTGCAACTATTCAACGCAAACCAAGCAACGGCAAGAAGGGGGGCGCGGGCGCTGGCGCAGGCTGGGGTTGGGTGTGTAGCGAAGTACGTAACGGCTATGCAACGTGGTGTGTAACGAGATACAATGCAGAAGAGGACTCTTTCTTCCGATATGTCCTACATCAACAGGTATTATCCTATGGAGAAAAGGAGAGCCCAGGGACTGATTAGAGCTGTAGTAAGGCCTGCACCCAACTCCAGCCTTGAGGGTGAAGACGGTCTGCTCTCCCACCACCAGGATCTCCTGACACAACTCGGATCTGTTCTACAGGGAACCAGGCGACCTCTACAGGTGTTATAGCCACGGTTCATGTTCATTTTGTCTGAAAGTGGTTCGTTCAGTAAGCCCCAGGTCCCATTGTTACTTTGGCTGTGCCTCGGCCACGCATTTTATCATGGACAAACACTTCTAAAGTGATTGGAGAACACAAATCCATCCCCGATCTAAATCAAATATACTTTCACCAAAAAAAAAAAAAACAAAAAATGAGGATCCCGAGGATGGACCCGAGATCCAGCTTTTTCCGGGGCCCAGTCCTGCTGGCTGGCGGAGAGGGACCGGCTGAACCTTACCACCTCGATGCTTCGCGCGTGCTCCCCGATGTTGGTGGACCAGTCCACCTGCGAAGGCGCAAACATCGGCCCCGTTCTGTGATATATGCATGTGTATATATATATATACATGTATATAGCAACGTGGGGTGTTCGTACCCATGAATACCTAGCACTGAAAAGGGAATTCCCTTCATATGCCAGAACATGTCTGCAATGCAGGCCTTTGAAACAACTCAAAAGGGAAAAGTAGACACCCCTAAATAAGAAGAAAGGTAGCCCTGACTGGCGGCCCTGACAGTTTAGCAACCCTGTTTTAGTGGCTTCGATCCCTTTCTAAGTAAAGGGGACCCGTAAAAGTTAGCAACTCTTTTCCGGGGTGTCCATTTGTTTTGAAATCTGATAAGGCATCGGTCGAAAGAACATGTCGTTGTCTCCCGTTCCAAATCGCCTTGTGGGGACTCCAGGAAAAGATGAAAGGAACTGCCAATCAAATACTTCCTCGCGAATGCATGGGCCTAGCATCACGAACCAATAGGGGCTGCAAAAGGACCTGGAGGCTTCCCTCAGTCCAGTTGCGCCTGGACCTTCTTGCCAGAAGCTTCGCCTGCAGAAAAGTGAAAGGGAAAGGGGGGGAAGAGAAAATATCTAGCCTCCTATTTGAAAGACCGGGTCCAAGTGGAACTAAACAAGTAGGCGATGAACCTTTGCCTTCATTGACAGCACGCTGGGTCTGACTGCGCAGGCTGGCTCCGGTCCAAGATGCCACCTTCACACTTGGGGTGCAGAGAAGACTCGGCAAAAACAAACACGACTGGATGGGCGCCGGTCAGCACCACTCCTTTTGGCCTTGCGTGCCCAAGCACCTTTGGCACACTTGATGATGCCAGGAAAAACGCACTCCAAACCACTCCAACTAAGGGTTACCTGAGTTACAGCTCTTCCAGAAACAAACCCAGACATACCCCTCCCCTTCCCCCCCCGCCTCCCGCCACCAGCCCCCAGCCGCCCCGCGCCCCCCAAAAACACGCCTGGCGTGTCTACGTTGTCCGCCGCCGCGGCCAGGACCTGGAGCGAGTTCGTTTCCGGCGCACGCTCGGGGCCCCGGGGCCCCGGGTGGGCGCGCCTGGTACCGGTAAGCCTCGATGCACATTGCGTTGGTGCCTCGGCTCCAGGCTGCGGCATGTGTTGCTTAAATATGGCTTGCTTAAAAAACAAAGAACGAAGAAAAGATGTTTGCTGTTGCTTAAAGATTGCTTGCACTTTGGCTGTGTACAAAGGCTCTGGGTTTTGGAGGGCAAAGAAGACGTGGGCGTGCTTCGAGAAATGTGTGCACCCCACCGCGCAAAGCAAAGGCCAATGGTGAAAAAAACGGCCACAAGGCCGGGGGTCTGGGACATCGACAGAAGGCCGCAAAAAGATGGCCACAGGAAAGAGTTGGAGTCGGCAAAAAATAAAAATGACTTCTAAAAGAACATCACAGCAAAGGGTGTTAAAATCAAGATGGTAGCTGCCTAATTCAATAAATCCAGAAGTCGGTGGCATCCACACTCCACGATCCCCGGATTTCTGGCGAGCCGCAAATGACAAAGCTGTCGATCTTTGGCACGTAGCAAATGGGCCCTGGGACCCTGAGCATGCGTCAGCTCGCCATGAGAATCGAGCGTGTCCACTCCCAACTCGAGGGTGACAATGAAAAAACGGATTTCAATGTCCCTAAAAATTGCCAGGAATGGTTTCAACCACGAGCCAGTCCCTATGTCGCATCCACAGGGTGCAAGGGAGACCATCAGTTGAACAGGCCCCACCCAACGGAAACTTACGCATTGAACCAAAAGGACATGCTTACACAGACCCAAAGGACCAAACCTCGAGCCAACAAGGCACAAGACCAGGGCTACTCTTTTGCCCAGGGACTCTTTCCGGCACGGCCCTTGAAAACGGCCGGAGGTCTCCTTTCTGGGCGCCCCGTGGGTCGGGCATGTCGTCAAAACGAGCGCCTCAACGGGCGGGTCAAAAAGCGAGCGAGCCGAGGGGCAAGAAGCTCGAGGACAGCATCCGGCTGAAGGCAAAGGACTCCTACGGCTGCGAGGCAAACGCCTGAAGATCGGAGCTCCCTTTCGCTTGAAAGCCTGATGCCCTTGTGGGAAGAAGCCGCTTGGGGGTGGCATTGGGGGCGTTTCAATACAGAAATATAAAGAAGATACCAACCACTTTCGGGGTGCGGTTCGGACACTCTGATATCAATCTCGTCGGTTTGACTGTCGGCCTTTGGGATTGAGTCTTGATGGGACCCCGCAGGAGGATTTCCAGGCTCTTCTTTGGGCGCAGGGGGATGCTCGACTAAAGCGGGGAAGGCCAAGGCCAATCCCTCTCAGCACGCCCCATCCCCATCCCCTCTGACGGACAAAACAAGGCTCAAGGCTTGCATTTGGTATTTTATCAAAGTCCTGCTCAAAGAAGGAGAGGACGCCATCCAGTGACCTACCATGCATCAGCATCAGACTGGGTGAGGTTGGGTTGGTTGGCTGGCTAGCTTGTTGGCTGGTGGTTCGTTGAACACCAGTCACCCGCAGACCAAACAGCTTTGAACATGTTTTTGGGGCGTCATGGCGAACCCCCAAAACAAATGGAGCAGGCGGTAGAGAGGCTGCTGCATCCCCAGCATTACCAGCATCGTTTGGACAAGCTTGGTGCTGCGGGTTAGTAGCAAACTCGCCACTGGCAGCATCGCTTTTTTTAGCCTTGTGCAGCAACAAACTTCCAAACGATGCTGGTCATGCTGGGAATGTTGCCTCCAACCTAGCCACTTCGAGCGGACGGTTCCCTCGGATCTCAAAACCAACAAGCTGACGCTTAGATTGTCACATTCTCCTCGAAAACGCCTCTACTGCAAGAGCGGCGATGTTGTGTTTCCACAAATCACACCAACATGTTTGATGAAGTCGCTCCCTGCTCGCTACAAGGGTCGCAGTGCCCACAACCCATGTAACCAATATGCTTTTGAGGTACATGAGGCCTTACTCTAACCCTTGTAAAAATAGGATCAGGCGTAGAACCACGCGCTAAAATGACCAATGGGGAGGGGTTTTGAGCACTGGTCATGTGGGAAGATCTCCTCACAAGCTGCCGCTGCTAGCAAGCAGATCCTGAGGTCCCGGCTGGATACAGAAAAAGTCGCGCTCGCGCGCCCCACCTGCGGTTTCCCCCAAAAGGATGGGGCGAATGCACGTGGCCGATGATTCGTGCCACGTGTGCGCGCCGGCAGATACATGATGATTTCCTGTTTTTGTCAACAATAAAGTGTTTGACCATAGTGCGGGGGGGGGGGGCCCACCGAAAAGAAAAAACAACTCCTCATGACTTCGATGATTGCTAGCGCATCAGGGCTGAGCCATTTGCTTCCCATAGCGGTTCCACGGACAAAAATGTGCAAGCTGGCACAGTGCACTGATTAAGAGAAACCATGACTGCAAGACACCAGCTGTTTGGGCAAACTTTTAGATCTGCTTGCTGGACATTCGACTTGTTGGGACCTGGAACTTGGTTTCGGAAAACTTGAGCCCAGAGATATCCCGATATCCCCCGAAACGATTGGAAGCTTCTTGCTTGCCTACAGCCAACCATTCCCTGTAAGGATCCGCTCTGTGGCTTGGCACGGGTCGTTTCCTCAGAACAAGAAAGCTCAAACTGGTAGGAAAAGCATATTCCCCAGCCCATAGCAATTGGATCCTTCACGCCGGCTAAGTCAGTTCCAAAAAACCTCACAGCTTGGTTGTGACAGACCGCGGTTGCCAAAACCGCCGGATTGCAAAAAGAGTTCAAACCAGGTTTTGATTTTTGGCTCCAAGGATATAGGTATGTGTGCATGAATCTTTTCGGCTGGGGCTCCCACCGAAGCTGCCATAGCACATGTTGAAGGCAGGCCTGGCGCGGGGTAGCAGGCTGCCCTGTACTCTTCAAGGTGCGCTGCGGATACCTTCAGATAGCCATTTACAGACGTTGCCGCCTCTCAGGAAAATATAGTATACATACATCATACCGTATACCCTCGTTGGGTACTGTGCTCGGGGCTGTTAGGGGTACACAAATAGCGGTACATGACGGGGCGGTGGTGTCCCTTTCAGGTCGACAAAATCTTACAGTCGAACCAGGGATGTGGAAGTGGATCCTATTGAAACCTTTGAGTCCTCCGATATCCCTGGAAACTCATTTCCCTCATTCAAGCACACATTCATGGGCATATTCACTGAAAAAAATGGGCCCAAAGTCTTGTCAGGCTCTGACGTCCCAGTTCGCATCTTCCTTGACACACAATTTTCAGGATCTCTTGGAACGACAATACTGCGCTTGGCGCCTGGGCTTGCTTGTCTACGGCCCTTGCAGGGAACGATTGGAACTGCATCATTCCCATGGTCCCTGCTGGGAAGCAAAAGTTGTCGGGATTTGGCCTGTTGGCTCCAAGCGGACATTTCTCAACGTCAAAGATTCTTCGCCCTAAACCCTCAACCCCTGGGATCTGTTCCAAAAAGAAACGACCGCGCTCGGTCGGACGGCCACAACGTGTGCCTCGTGAGCCTGTGCTCATAGGCCGGAGCCATGGAGTAGTAGTTCACCGAGGCCCCAGAGGACACCGCCGACCTCGACTTCAACACGTCGGGTCCGGTGCCAAACCCTTCGCGACGGATAGGAACGGTTTGAGCGAGTGAAACCCATGGCAGGGGGATCCCTTTAGTTTGGGAATTGTGACGTTAGTTTGACCCTGACTGACGCCTTGGTTCTGCACATGGACCAAACTCAAAAACCTGGCGGAATTCTGTCTCTTGGTTTGGCGACAGTTTGCGGATTGCGCGCTGATGTTCCGCTGAGGATTGTTGACAGCTTGTTGACGACTCTTGATCGTTTTGATGCCGATTTTAGCATGCTGATGGTTGTCGATGGAAGGTGTTGTCACTGACGCGTGTTGATGGGTTGTTCCCGTCTACTAATGCATGATTAAGCCTGTACTGGTTTGGACGAAGCGTTTCCCCGCTTCTAATCGGCACTGATCAACAGGTAGCAAGCAGGGGTGACCATTCTGCAGGTTCATATACCAGTGTATACAAACAGCCTTCAATAAATGGATGCTTTTCAACCGTAAGGGTAATCCCCAATTGATGTTCCTGTTGGTGTCCTTTAAAGACCCATCCCAAAGGGGGTTCCGTCATTTTGAGCACGCCCAAATGAGCTACTGCAACATGAGCGTTGAAGGACAGCATCACTTTTTGTGCTTCCCAGTTGAGAATCATTTATGCGTTCAAACTTAGTGAACCTCCCAACAGTGATGTCTTCCTTTGAGGTCCCTTGATTTCATTTTGACACCGCACGGAAAACACATATCGCTTTGACGCTGTCCCGTAAGTTAAGATCTGCAAATGGCTGTAGACTCATGCGCGAGTTTTTTTTCGAGCTCTCCCGAACCGAATGCCGGTGTTTCAAGTTTTGGGGGGGGTTTAGGGGTTGATTCCACCCATTCTGTCCAACCATTGTTGTCTTTCAAACACCCGCCGTTTCCTTTGATGCTAGGTTGGGGCTCCGGGCACCATGTACACGGACAACTTCATGGGGTGCAGCAAGGCCATGCAAATTTCGCGGCCTCGATACGCCCGGTTCGATCGGCAAATTCATTCCCCGAAATGCGCAAGGCGGGGGCTTCAGCTTGGTGTCCAATTGTGCCTTCCTTCGATGGCCTTTTCAGCTTCCTTTGGAAGCATTCCCGGATTCTCCAAGGGACACCCCTTAATCCACCAGGGGGCACTCAGCCTGGTTGCTACAAATGTGTTGCCAACACCTCAGCCCAGGACTCCCTTGCACAAACCGGCCAGCTTCGATCTGCAGGATGGGAGCCTACAGGTGTGCCACGCGAGGCGACCGTCTCAGTCATTCCATCCAATCCTATTCCCACCGAGAACCAAAGCACCCAAAGGGAGTCTTCAACTTGTCTCACATGCGCATCTTTCCTTTCAGGGGTTTCTTGGGGTGGCTTCTCAGCCTCCATGTTGCTTTCCAGGATGAGGTCCTCAATCTTGTACTCCTTCTGCTTGGGGTAGTACCTGCCAGAGTAATCCCTGGGGCTAAAAATCCCGGAAGTCAGGTCCCATTCGCACCGAGACGCAAGAAAACCACGCATACCAAAACGATGCAAC